CGGGTTGGGGGCGGTGGGGGCCCCGGGGGCAGATCTGATTGTTTTCTTGGTGGTATATAAGGGGTTTTAAGGAGAGTCGTGTGCCAGACACGCAGCCACTGAACCACAAGCAGCTTCGCTTTAACTGGAGTGCCTGGGAGTCGCGTGCCAGGACCCGTACGGCCGGGACTGACTGACAGACACGCACCACCACCACACCACACGAGACCCGGGCGGGTCGCCGCCGCCGCCGGGGCTGTTGGCAAACGCCGGCTTGGAAGAGGTTCCCCGTGGAGCCGCGCCGCAGTAGCACCCGGCCTGCAGCTTCCCAGTTAGGAGACGAACAAGGAGCGTTGCGCTACGTTCCCGGCTGCGCGGAGAATCCCGCACGCATCAAAGTAACAGTGACACGGAGGCGCAGTTAGAGATAACTAGGTAAGCACGACATGCAACTTCGCAGGTTGTTCTCCTTGGCTTTGCCACGTACGCACGCCTTCTGCCCCGCGGAGACTTTGCCGCTGGGGCTGCGGTTCTTTTCCAGGATCGGACCCCAGCCGCCAGAATAGCCAAGCTGAATGATGGTTTCAGTTGGCTGGCGGCAGTGTCGCAAATCAGGGGGCTCCCAAGCTTGTAGAGCTCAGTTGGGGGTTTCCCCCCCACCCACCCCCCAGCTGACTACATTTCCTGTCCGCGCCTTCCAGAGCCAGAGCCAGTCCAGTCGGTCATTCGGGAACGTGCCCTGTTTTATTTCTTTATGCACACCTGGCTTGTCTGTTTTTCTCTCCCAGGTGTCTTCGACAGGATGTTCGTCAAATCCGAGACCTTGGAGTTGAAGGAAGAAGAGGACGTACTGCTGCTGCTCGGCTCGGCTTCCCCTGCCTCAGCGGCTCTGACCCCGCTGACGTCCAGCGCCGAAGAGGAGGAGGAAGAGGAGGAGTTGGGTTCGTCTGGCGGGACGCGGCGGCAGCGCGGGGCCGAAGCCGGCCCGGGGGCGAGGAGCGGCTCAGCGGCAGGCACTGAAGTCTGCCGGCCAGCGCGGCTGCTGGGCCTGACACACGAGTGCAAGCGGCGACCCTCTCGGGCCCGTTCTGTCTCTCGAGGTGCCAAGACGGCCGAGACAGTACAGCGTATCAAGAAAACCCGCAGGTTGAAGGCTAACAATCGCGAGCGCAACCGCATGCACAACCTCAACGCAGCACTGGACGCGCTGCGCGAGGTGCTTCCCACGTTTCCGGAGGACGCTAAGCTCACCAAGATCGAGACTCTGCGCTTCGCCCACAACTATATCTGGGCACTCACCGAGACCTTACGCCTGGCGGATCACTGCGGGGGCGGCGGCGGGGTCCTTCCTGGGGCGCTATTCTCTGACGCCGTGTTGCTGAGCCCTGGAGGCGCTAGCGCCACCCTGAGCAGCTGTGGAGACAGTCCGTCGCCCGCCTCTACGTGGAGTTGTAGCAACAGCCCCGCGCCTTCCTCCGCCGCGTCGTCTAACTCCACCTCCCCCTACAGTTGCACTTTATCACCCGCCAGTCCAGCGGGATCAGACATGGACTATTGGCAACCCCCACCTCCCGACAAGCACCGCTACGCACCGCACCTCCCTTTAGCCAGGGATTGCATCTAGAGCAGCCATTTCTGAGTTCTCTTTTCTGCCCTCCACCAAGCCCTCGTCCCACCCCTTCCCTGCACCACTTTCCACTTTCTGATTACCACCTCAGAAAGATGTAGCGGTCTGATTCCTTGTTGGTTTTCCTGCGCCCTTTGGCTATGGGTTTCCTTCATTCCGACAGTGTCTGATTTAATGAACTTGTGCCGAAGCTTATTATCAAAGAGGATTGTGGATTTTGGGGTGCGCTTCTTGAGATTAGAAAGACACCGGGAGGAAGCGAAGGGTTCGAGGAGCGGTCGGACGCTCCTCCCCTCTCTGTAAATTCTGAGAACTCTGTGTATTTCCTGTGAATCACCCAGGGTAGATGCAACTGGTTTCTGTGATCTCGTCACCTTTGCTTCTACATAGAGATGTTAACATGTCGAGTAGAAAGAAATGTTTCTTAGCATCTGAATGATTTTTTTTTTTTTTTACCGGTAATAATATTATGCACAGATTTACAATGGCTGGCATCTATTTTATTCCCGTTGCTGTCTGTATGCTGTGGGAATTTCACCTGTCAAACCAAACTTCCCTCTGATGTGCACTTTGTTCAGTTTCCCAGATTCGTCACAAGGCCTATTGTCCCGTCTTTCTCTTTCCTCCCCCCCCCCATTTTGCCATCTGTCTCTTATGATTTATAAGGGGGGGGAGGGAGTTGTTTTGTTAGAGGGCCAGGTTAGAAGTCATTGTATAATTTGTAGGCTTTGTAATGATTGAATGCAAGCGTGGAAATTTAGGTTGAACTCTCTATCAAAAGAAAAAATGTGGAGAAAAGGGAAAAATAAGGAGGGAGGATTGCTTCATGCATTATTTATCTCGACCTTTTAGGGGAGAAGGAACTCCCCCATTCTTTCAAGAGATTAAAAATAAATCAACAGACCGAAAACCTAAGCAGACACAGAGCATTATCAGGATCAGCCACACACGTGTTTCCTTCTATTTATTATAAAGAAAAATTTCATGGGAAAAGTATGTATTTTTTTGTATATTCTACAGAGTTTATTCTAGTATGTATTTACATCTTGAATAACAAGAAAATTGTTCTTGTGATTAAACTATAAATAAAGTATCTAATTTTCATAATTGTTGTGGGTGACATAACTGTGTGTTTTAGGATCAGAAGGTATTTCTCTGAAATTTTCCCCATATCAAATTGAGTATAAATTCTACGGTGTCAAGTTGACTATGACTCATAGCAAGCCTGTATGTTTCAGCAATGCTTGTGTATATGATTTTACTGGCACATAGATTATAGTAAATTACAAGAAGTTGAATCTTATTTGAGACAGTAGCACTTAAAAGTATAACTCTCAATGTAAACACAAACTTGTAAGAAATCAATTTCTAAGAAAGAGGAGCAAATATATTCATATACATATATACATAAGGAGCTCTGGTAGCGTAGTGGTTACGAATTGGGCTGCGAACCGCAAGGACAGCAGTTTGAAACTACCAGCTGTTCCGCGGGAGAAAGATGAGGCTTTCTGCTCCCGTAAAGATTTATAGCCTTGGAAACCCTGTAAAGGTTCGCTATGAGTCAGAACCAACTCCACGGCACATAGCAACAATAACAATACATATATACATATATATATGTTGTTGTTGTGAAGTGCCATTGAGTCAGTTCCGACCCATAGCGACCCTGTATAGGGTTTTCAAGGAGTAGCTGGTGAGCTTGAACTGTCAACCTTGCAGTTCAAATGGCTTTGCAGTTTGGCGCATTAACCCACAGCGCCACATATATATATATATGAAACTCTGGTAGTATAGTGGTTATGAGCCCAGCTGCTAACTACAAGGTCAGTAGTTAGAAACTACCAGCTGTTCCGTGGGAGAAAAATGAGGCTTTCTGCTCCCATAAAGATTTACAGCCTCAGAAACCCTATACAGGGTTGCTGAGTCAGGACCAACTCCACAGCACATCTATCTATCTATCTATCTATCTATCTATCTATCTATCTATCTATCTATCTATCTATCTATCTATATATCATCTTTCTGAAATTCTCTGCTTTCAGGGTGGAGAGTCAGAGAAAAAGAGGAAGACACCCAGTGAGATAGGTTGGCCAAGTGGCGGCATCAATGGGCTCAAGTGTGGCAACCACAGTGAAGTTGGCTGGGGATTGGGCAGTTCTATGCATAAGGTCGCTATGAGTTGGTACCGACTCAATGGCATCTAACAACAACAAAGTGCCTTTGAGTTGGTTCTACTCATAGTGACCCTTTATAGGGTTTCTGAGGAACAGCTGGTAGGTTTGAATTGCTGACCTTGTGGTTAGCAGTCCAGTGCTTATTTTACAGTACCACACCAGGACTCGGACCTGATGCATTAGAAGGTTCAAAAAAGTAAAGTAGCATAGCACCTTTGCTTTGTAGGTATGAGGGCATTTCCAAGACTATGGGAAAACTCTTTTCATTTTTTCACAAACTTTTGGAAGCACCTGCATATACTGATACATGTAAGCTGGGCTTCTGAAAACTGTTTTTGTTATTGTAACTATCTACAGGGATATTTTAAAATTAAGCTAAATTAAAATTTTTCAACCTTTAATGAGAATTGAGTAAAGGTAAACAGACAAGATCATCAGATTTGCTCTCAACCAATCATTTTGTTTCATTTCAATGATTACTCTCCCCTCTCTGTTGCTTCTATCCTGTTGCTTCCCCTTTACATCTTATTTTTTTCCCACAAATGAACAAAGCAGAAATATTTGATGTACACATGCAAAACAAACAATATATATTAATTTAAACCCCAAAAAGTACATTCTGCATGCCAGCCTCCAGCCTGCAGGCACACAGCCTTTCTCAGTCCATGGGCCTGGAGTCCTCAGCTGCTTTCTCTCTCTCTGTTCCATCACCTCTGCCACTGTCTCTGCTGTTGCCACTTTTCCTAAGTAGGATCTCATGCTCCACTCATGCTCTTACTTCTTGATGGTCCTAGGGCCCTCTGTTTTTGAAATGAAAGATGAACTACTCCCCACTTTTAGTTACACATCATCCACAATTACACTAGTGATAATCACAATTAAGCCTGATGACAATTACTCACAATTGAATTGTAAATTCCTATCATCATCATCCCTCATCCCCTTTCATCAGATCCATCTGGAAAAGAGGAAAACTATTCAGTGGGGATTTTACCTTACCCACTTCATTCTGAAAGCAAGCACACTTAAAAGCAGCTTGTAAGCCAGCCACACTTTGTGCATGCCTTTATAGCTCTCCATTTCAAACCCACCAGCCACGCCTCAGAAACCCTATACAGGGTAACTCTGAGTTGGAACCAACTTGATGGCACTTAACAACAGCGACAATTTTTGATAGCCAATGTCTAGATTGCTTGTCTACAGGGATATATATATATATATATATTTGCTTCTATTGTCTGTCTTTCTGATGTACATGAAAACACTCAGGAATATGCAATTATTCAAACAACCCAATCACACCCTGCAAGACTGCCTCCCGGCTGGCTGCCAACATACAGCCCCTCTGTCTCCGAGAATCTAGAGTCCTCAGCAGCTCCATCTCTCCATGTCATCATCTCTGTCTCCATCTCTGGCATTGCTGCTTCTCTGGATAAGGTCCAGATCCCACTCTTCTCCTTGATGGTCACAGGGTCCTGTTCTCTTGGACAATGAGATCAACCACTCCCCCCTTTTTGCTACAAAACTTCTACTTTTACAGTTAGGACAATCACAATTAGTCATGATAACTACTTACTATTGAACCATAAGAGTCTGATCCCCAACTCCTTTCACCAGATCCATATAGAAAGGATGAAGACCACTGAGTAGGGATTCTACCTTCACCTGCACTCTATGAAACTAGACTCCCTCTTGAAAACTTGTAAGCCAGTCACTTCGTGCTTTTAACTGCCCCCCCCCCACACACATTTTAGGTAGCCAATGTCTAAGTTGCCCATCCCTATCATCCCTGTGTACATAGGAGATGGGAATGTTCCTTGCTGTGAAGATTCCTTCCCTCTTGGTTGGTATTTTAAGCTACTACTACATCCATAAGTATAGGTTAAGTTAATCAAATTGTAGTGATTTACACTTGTTTTCCTTATCAATATATATATATGTCGAGGTCCTATGTCGGATTCTAGCCTCGACAAGGAAGTGTGGGTGTCACAAAGAAGGGAGATCTGGCAGCAAAAGGGATAGAGACAAAGAGAGATGAAATATATACAAAAAAGACAGACAGATATGATGCAAGCTGGCAGGTAGACAGATCTGCAAACATATTGCCTAGCATTGCCCAGCATTGCATGCAGAATTCACTCTACCTCAGTCTTTCATTCTCTATTTTAGGGAGGGATTTATTACAAAGGAAGAATGTAATTCACAAAGGGAGGATGTCACAAAGGGAGGATGTGATTAAGATAGGATTTGCAAACTTTTGTTTGTGAGCAAGATCTCAGGCACCAGGCTTCATTTATCTATACCTAAAATGCTACATTGTTCTTAATTATCACATTGCTGTATACTTTCAGGAGGAAGAAGAGCATCTGGGTTAAACTGATTATATTCAGAGGTGGTTCAATGGGGCTGCCATTGATCAACCCAGGGTCTGCGTATGCTGTCCCCAGCATATTCCCCCTTTTTGTTT